TTCACCGAGTTCAGCCAAAGATTGAACGTTATATGGTCGTAAGTAAAAAGGATTATTGTATTTGCGTACATTTTCTTTCAGTACTTCCATTCTATGCTGAATATTTTCATCTGATGTTGGAGTCTTTTGTATGTCGGTGAACATTTTTCGATATCCTTCTACTATGTCAGCCGAATTTTTCTTAGACTCTTGGAAAGATTCCATATTCTCCTCATACTCTTGTTGAGGGTCAAGATTTTTCGGCTGTTCCAAATCTTCATCTAGTTCTGTGAAGTTAGTTTCCAAAGGAGGGACTTGTTCGTTTCCTTTAGGCTCTTCTAGCTGTTGTTGCTGAACTATTTCTTCCATGTCTGGTTGTATCTGAACTTCTTCCTGTGGAGTTTCTTGTACCTCATCTGGTGGCATTTCATATATTCCGAGACCGTTTTTAACAAGTTCCCTATCTAAGTCATCCGGACTCATAAACCTTTCTTCTTTCGTTCCGTCTCTATTTTTTACGCGTTTCATGAAGAGAGTTGAATTATCATTTAGCTCTGACATCAAATATCTCGGAGTAAATTCATTCATGTCATTTGGATGATATGCTATTAAATCATATCCCTTTGCGAGCTTGTATTTTCCAGGTTTGAGATTATATCCGATTTTATGCTGAACCATAAAGCTAAATAGGTTCGGGTCAGTATTTCCTTCCTTGAACTTTCTAATAGCTTCTTTATATCTGTCACTAAAGTCAAGTGTATCTGGGTAACCATAATCTTCCTTAAGCATTTTTAAGAATTCTTGGTTTCCTTTTTCTCTACTTCTTTTGTGTCTTTGCTCTGTTTGTGGTTGTTGTTGTGCAGGGTTTTGAACTGTTGGTTGCTGTGCTGGTTGTGGAGGTGGTTGTTGTGCTGGTTTTGGTTGTGGTGCAGGTGCTGGATTTTGAACTGTTGGTTGTTGTGCAGGGTTTTGAACTGTTGGTTTTGGTTGTTGTTGTCGTGCTGGATTTTGAACTGTTGGTTGTTGTTGTGGTGCATGCCTGTGTCTGTGTCCATGTGACGATGTAAATGTTTTAGGTAGTCCTGGTGCAGGTGCTTCTCTTGGAGGGTTTGGTGGTATATAAGTTCCACCAGCTGGCACATATGTTCCATCTGCAGCATAATGTCCTACCTGACTTTTCATTTTTAAGAAAGCATTTACTAGGTCTGTTTTGGTCTGTTGTAACTCTTTTTCTTGACTTTCCACAACAGCTGCTCTAACGGCGTCATAGGCACTTTGAACTGCCTGTCTCGTTGCTGCATCTGTTATTTTCGTCATATTTTGTGCTACTTCTCTTAACTCTTTGTCGAAACCTTCAGACTTCAGTTTCTTTCCAGATGAGAAGTCGTTCACTAGTTTCACCTTACTATGAAGAGCTTCGAAGGCATTCTTAAAGTCAGCATTCATTAAAGCTTCATTTGAACTGTCTTCATCCGCTTGTATTTTTGTCCTTATTGACCCTATAAGTTGGGCTGCTTTAGCGTTGGCTTGGGCATCTAACCAGTCATTATTAGCTTTTATAATATCTGCGCTTTTCATTGCCTTTTGCATGGATGCGTCGTTATTTTTACTTTCTTGTGCTAAGTTTTCATACTGTACGGTTTGGTTTTGCAACTGTAAAAGTTTTTCCGCCTTTACATTTGCTTCAACTTCTTTTTTATACTCATCGCTATCCATATATGTCTTCATGGCTTTTTGTTTTATCTCTTCATCTTTCAGTACTTTATATTGAGTAGTATGGTTTTTCAAATTTATAACATCTTGTTCCATTTTTGCTACTTCTGCTGCTTTTTCTGACACTTTTTTTGCATATTCCTCTGTACTTAGTTCTTTCGGTTGTTCTTCTTTCTTCTTTTTCTCTACGTTTAACTCATTTAGTTTCTTTGTGTGTCTGTCATATTCTAGTTTCTTTTCGTTTTCACTTATTTGTTTCTGTATGTCTATGTTTGACTTTTTGACATCTGTTATTTGATTTTTGAGTGAACTCAAATTCATTTGACTTTGAGGGTTATAAGCTGTTCCGTCTGCAGCTCCACCATAGCCTGCCATTTTCGCTAAAAGTGCCGCTCTTAAACCTCCACTCTGTGCACCAATAACTCGGTTTAAAAGCATAGGGTTGCTTGACATTTGTTGCAACATAGTGGGGTCATTCATCATTTGTTGTTGCAACTGTTGTTGTGGTGTCAGTTTTACTATTGGATGTTTCAATGCTCCCTTCCTCTTACGTATATTCTTACGTAGCTTACGTGGCATTTTAAGTGAAGTTAAAAAGCGGTTTTTGACAGATGTTTATATGACACTTTTTGTTCAGCACAAAAAACTACTCGGTCAAAGTGTTGTCAGTTTTGTAAAATAACCGTCTTATCTCATTCTATAAGGGGAAAAAGGCTTCTCAAAGTATACTTCCTTGGAACGCTTGTAACTTTTCCTGTAGCGACGATAGACCTTTACTTGTCCGGACAAAGTTATACTATTTTGAGTGCTCTACAAAAAAGTCAACGGCGACGACTCTCAAAAACCGTTGTGTAAAAAGTTTTACCGTTGGACAAAAAAGTATATATAGAAAACAAAAAACGTTTATAGTTCATTCAATATTTGAGATAAACCGTTTTTCCAACGGTAACTATTAAATAAAATAAAAAATAGAGGGGGTACCGTTGACGAAAACGGTTTATCTCAAATATTTAAATATCTGTCTTTTTTGGTCAGTTCATTTTTATCTAATGGAAGCCAACGCTGTTAACCACAATTCAAACATTAACAATTCTCAACCGCTAACCAAAGCCAAAGCCCCACAACCTCCAAGAACTGGCACAGCGGTTAGAATAACCACCAAAAAGTCTAACAGCGAATTAAGAGAAATTCTTCAACAAATTTGCTCTAAATATCTCAAAGACGCCGAAGAAAACACACAACCAGACGCTACATACAATACTCAGTTCTGTGAAGTTCTGAACAAAGCAATTACTAGTTCAGTTGAACTTACTAAGACAATTCCAAGTCCAATTGAGCTTAGCGATGTCTTAGTTCAGTATTTTCCAACATTTACTAAGCTTATAATGTTGAGAACTTTATACCAAGTTCGTCAAAATCTTCCTCGTTACATCCAACGGTCATTCGACAAGAGAATTGCCGAATTCCAAGTCTTTAGTTACGGATATGACGAAGATGAATACGTTGACGAGTTCGGAGACAACTGTACAAAATGGTTTGAATGTTATACGACAACACAATTTGAATTCGACTTTCTCGAATTCAACGCAGCAACCATTCATATCATTGCTCTTTACCTTTCCGAACAACAACAAGACCTCGCAGATGGAGATGTTGTTACTGTCGTCATGAAAACTCCTGAACAATTCGGAAAAAAGAAGTCTCTAATTGCCAAATTCGTTCCAGGACATCAGCTTTTCCAACGCACAGAAGTCTTCTGTATTCCTGGAACTAAGTTCTTTGTCAGGAGCGAACTCAAAGAAAGATATAATGTGTCATTCAATTACACATTATATAATGTTTTCGACCCAGAAGAAGGCTTCTTCCCAGAAGCAATGGAGGAGGAAGAAGAGGAGGAGGAAATACAAGACTCTATCCAAGAAGAGTCCTCCGAATTCACACCAGAAGACTAACAATTTTCCGAATAAAAACTTCATTTATACTAAACATCTTCGGGGCTAGAGGGCGCAACGCGCCTGGAAGCCCTCCGAATTCACACCAGAAGACTAACAATTTTCCGAATAAAAACTTCATTTATACTAAACATCTTCGGGGCTAGAGGGCGCAACGCGCCTGGAAGCCCTCCGAATAAAAACTTCATTTATACTAAACATCTTCGGGGCTAGAGGGCGCAACGCGCCTGGAAGCCCTCCGAATTCACACCAGAAGACTAACAATTTTCCGAATAAAAACTTCATTTATACTAAACATCTTCGGGGCTAGAGGGCGCAACGCGCCTGGAAGCCCTCCGAATAAAAACTTCATTTATACTAAACATCTTCGGGGCTAGAGGGCGCAACGCGCCTGGAAGCCCCACTACCTTTTTTTTACCTTTAATAGCGATTACGATGGAAATAAAGGTCCTAGAAAAATCAATCTTAAATTTGGAAACTTAGAATTACACTCAAAGGTTCCAATTAAATCCAAGAACGGAATTTGGCGACTTCCATTCAATGGACATTTCACTATCCTTTCATGTCGTAATATTATAATGCTTGATAATGAAGAACAAAAAGTTTTATCTATTAGAAAGATAAGTTCCAATGTTCTTCAGGTAGATGTTTCTAAGCCATTGCCACTTTACATTGTAATGGCCTTAGGTGTTTCAAACTATATTTATATCGAATAATTTTTACGAATTATTCATTGTATGTTTATTAAAAAGTACCTTATAGAATGTTTCAAAAACTCCCAAAACGTCTTTCTTTTATTGAGTTTTGCATATATATAAAATAATTTGATAATTCGATCTCTCAATTTAAAAACTGATGCCATTTTCCATAAAATATGGATTATCGTTCTTTAATTAATTGCATTTATGAAGGAATTTCATTATGATAAATCTAATTATCCTTCGTAAATTCGGTCAAAACGAAATAGGTGTTAGTTTAGCTCATGGGAATAGAATACATTAATATCTCATCAATGCCTAATGAATAATTTAAAATATTAATCGATCATGAACAGAATTTCAATCGAACACATTAAAAAATTCAATTAATGATCTGTTATTGATTATATATTTATACATAAACATATAATTAACTATTCTATATGGTTTATATGATCTGAATTCATTTTATTCCCAAGGAATGGCATAATTTTCCAAAAAGGTTCAAAAATTTGACGTGTAAATTGAAAGTAAACTATTGAATAAAAAGCAATAAATTAATTAGAAGATTTTCTTTCACATTATATTAAGATAATCAAATCCTAATCTAACGTTAGAAATTTGATTAGTATTGAATTTTTTTTATAAATTTATCGGAATGGATTACCAAGAAGATGTGGATGATATGGAGCTTATTGATATTGAAAATCCTGGAGGTTTTGATGAGCTTAGTAGAAACCTTGGTTTTTCATTTCGAAATACATCTGAAATCAGAAATTTTCTTCTTTCAAATACAATCCACAAAAACAACATTCAACGCCTATTTGCTTGGCTAATTACTTTCGGAATTCTTCCAATTGACTCAACTAAATGGAATGATTCTATTCATTCTCTCTTTTCAAACTATCAAATCTTGATCAGAACTAATTTGATTGATGCTGAAGAAGATCCTCTTAAATTACTCAACCCTGAAGATGTAGGCGTTATTACAGCTGATATTACAAGGATTTTAATCTGGTTTAATGAAATGGCCGCATTTTTGCAAATTCCTGAAACAGAATGCATTCGTGCCAAGGTTCATGCATATAGAGCTATTACTTTGTACTATCAAACAAAGAATTTTAAATATGCCCAAGGTCATGATCGTTATTTCTTCATTGCATACCTTCTATCCCTCTTCTTTACATCAAAGAATGGCCTTTCAAGCGAAGTTGCCGAGTGTCTTTCTTTTCATCTCGCATATGCCTTAATTGAAATGGGAAAGCTCTCCAGATTCTTAGATAACCCTAAACAAACTCAGAAGCACTTTGAACATCTCGATGAAATGATGGAAGACCAAACTCCGGATATTTACGACGAATTAAACAAAATGGGCCAGTCATCAATCCATTTTGCTCTCAGATGGGAAGTATTGATTTTCTCTGATGAATATGACATTGAATCCATTTTTTACATCTGGGATAACGTAATTATTCGAAGAAGCTTATTAGAGCCATTTATGTACGCTCTTTGTATATCTCATCTCAAACAAATACCTCAGCCTAAAAGAGATGAAATGATGATAGAAACAATCCAACATTTTCGTAATTTCGATGCGAAGAAAGCAGTTCGTGATGCTGTTTTAATATACGGAGGAGATCCCGTTCCTTATTCTCCAAAGGCTGCTATTATTGCTATTGTTATTCTTGTTTTATTACTTTGCTTATACGAATTCATCAAATAATTCCATTTTACATTTATTTGTTTAATGTTTGATTAAATGTCTTTTTCTATCTATTTACAACATACATTTTTTAATAATAGTGATATATTTCGAAAAATGATTAAGCAAACATAACATGTCAATTTAGAATTTTTCATTACATGAGTATTTCTGCAATATATGTTTGAACCAAGTAATAAAACCTTGAAATTGAATCCAAAACAATAATGAAATTATAATTGGATTGACTTTTTAAGAAATTTCTGATGTTAAGAAGATACCCAATAGATTAAAGCAATAATACTTAAAAATAGAAAACTGAAAGAAATTTTTTTCAAATGAGTTCTAAGCAACTTCCAGCCTTTCCTGCATCAAAGATCAAAGAAATCATTACGCAAGATCCGGACCTCAAGGATATTCCAAAGAAAGGAATTGATATGTTACGTGTTGCAGCTGAAGAATTTGCAAGATATACATTCAAAAAGATAAACGAAGAATCTAAGAAGAAAGGAAAAGCTAAAATGACTTCTCAACACTTCGTTGCTGCAATCAATAATGATCCAGCTCTAAAAGCAATTCTTGGTCAATTTATAGTTACCGAAGAACAACAAAATCAACCACACCAAGAGGAGCAAGTTGAAGAAAATGAAGCAGCTAATGAACAAGAAGAAAATGAGCCAGAAGCTGAAGAAAAAGAAGAAGAAAAACAACCAGAAGAAGAAGCTAATGAAAATGAAGAAAAAGATAGTGGGGAAGAAGATCCGCAACGTAGTGAGCAACCATCTGTTGAACAGAGTGAACAAGTTTCAGATCTTGAAGATGATATGTGATAAATGTACATAGAAACAAATAGAGAATTCATAATTTTTCATGATTTTGAAATTAAAACGATTTTCAATACCAAATAGTCGATTGATGCAAGTTTGTGCATGAATGGAAAAAATTCAATTCAATTAGTTAACATATTACGCACATTACAAGGCAGAATTATTTACTAACACAAATTGATTTCATTCATAACTATACAAGTTCTTAGATGAAAAAAATACATGAAAATTTTGAATTATACCTCACATGTTTCGGTTGTATGACTTATCACATTATTTTACAATATATTATGTTTGAATAAAAAATTTAAAACTATGTTTAGATTATTCTCCCTTTTATATATCATTGTGAATTACCAATTAATTATGTTGAATAAAATGATGTGAATAACTGGTCTTTCCAGAATATGAACATTGCATTTTTCCCAATTTTATAACTTATAATATAAATATAAAAATTAACAATAAAATTCCATAACAAATAGATATTTTAATGAAAAATATCAAATTTTCATATAAAATATTATAATTTTGTTGATTTAGTTTTAATATTTAATAGGGAATTTCTCTGAAAGGAACAATTTGAATAATAAAAATTCCAAAAAGAAATTCGAAATCTATTTTTTCAAGATCTAAAATGTTTTATTTCAACGCATTTTCAGGATTTGGAATTTTTTTTGGAAATCAATCGAAGCTTAATATCAAACAAGATGCATGATCTGATGTTGAACCTGCTATATAAAGTCTCATTTCCGAAATTATAAAAATAATTTTAATAATTCAAGTTAATTAAGTTCATCAGAATCAAGGCCAATAATTTAAAACATGAAATATAATGATATATTGTATTTAAATCAATTTTAAATATCGATTTTGAAAATTTCTCAATTGAAGAAGTATAAATTAATAAGTATATTCAAATAATATAAGAAGTATAATTGATACTTGTTTTTAATATCCATAATCAAAAAAAAGAAGCAATTTAGATAAAAGCAACAGCCCATATCTTAGCGGCGGCATCTTCACCGACTGTAAGTAAGTGGGTCTCATCGATCCAGTAAGCGTCGTTGATTCTCTGCTGGTGGGCGCGCTCTACTACGACGTAGCGTCTCTTCTTCTCGAGAGACCACTGGCGGATTGTGCGGTCAGCGGAGACTGTGATGAGGTGCTGTCCGTCCTTTGCGAACAAAATCTTTGTAACTGGAAGTGAGTGAAGTGACCATCCAGTGTGAATTTCCTCCTTGAGGTTGTCGCGTGCCCAAACTGTGATATCCTTGCGGGCGGCAGCTGTTGCGACCTTTGTTCCGTCAGCGGAGTAAGCGATTGCGACGACATCTGAATCGTGGCCCTTTGCCTCTCCAAGGACAGCTCCCTTTGGATCGATGAAGACTGTAGCACCCTTTGGTCCTCCGATGCAGATTTCCTTGAATTCTGGGTGAACAGCGACAGCTGTTGGGCTGAATGGTGTAGCGATCTTTGTGAACTCGCCGTCGTGGAGGAGGAGAAGTCCTTCCTGGTTGTGGACAAGGAAGTCATCGCCAAAGTTGTAAAGTCCCTTAATTGGAACCTTGGCATTGAGTGTCTTCTCCTGATTGCCATCGGCAACCTTGTAAACAGTGATTGTTGCATCAGCGCGTGCTGCGTAGAGGTGTTCTCCGTCCTTGGAAAGAGCGAGAGCAATAACGTGTGGTGTCTTGACTTCTACACCCTCTGGATTGGCAGAAGCGTATGGAGACTGTCCGAACTTGCGGAAGAGAATCATACCGCGTGTATCTGCTGTGACGAATCCTCCTGGGATGAGGCAAGCAGATGTGATAGCGGCAGAGTGGGCGCGCTCTACGCGGACTTGGCCGTTCTCGAGGTAGTTGAAATCACCGTTGAGTGAGAATGAAATCTTGTATTTCTTTGTCCAGAGTGTACCGGCTTGTTGCTGCCAGATTTCACTGCCGATCTTGTACTCCTCGGCGACAGATCCGTCGGCGATGTTGATGACAAGAGCACGGCCATCTGTCAAGGAGATCAAGCCTTGCTTGGAATCTGGGCTGAAGGAGATGCATGTTACGCCGCATGGGAACTGGAAGACGTTGATCTTGGTGGACTCCTTGCCGTCGTAGATGCAGACCTTGCCATCAAGGCCGGTTGTGGCATAGACAGATCCGTCTGGAGCGAAACGTGCGCAGAGGACAAACTTCTCGTGGTCCTTGCAGGAGTGGTCGAATTTGAATGGTGGGCCCTTGTAGAAGACGTGTGTGAAGTCATCACCTGCTGTAACGAATCTGAATGGACGTGTTGGCTTAAGGCAGCCTGTGTTGACGACCTTTGTGTGGCCCATGACTTCGCCTTGTGCAGAACCTGTCTGAGCAGCAACAACACAGCCGAATGAGTTGTTTTGGCCTTGGCCGACAACAGAGATACGCTCGTTATCGCCAGTCCATGAGATATCGAAAATTGGGCCGGAAATTGGTCTTGTTTCAAGAAGGAGACCTGTTTCCATGCACTTTGGTTCCCAAATCTTGACATTGCCTGCTTCATCAGCAGAAGCGACCCAACGGCCGTTTGGAGAATATGTAGCAGCTGTTGTCTTGCCTTGGTGTCCGACATAAACGTTAACGTCGAAGAGATTTTCTAAACCGACGATATAAACAAGGTTATCGATGCAATAAGCGCAAGTGTTTGTGTTATCGTTGGCGCTCATGAAGAAACCATGACCACGTTGTGGTGTTGGGTGTGGAGCATAGGTTGTTTCTGGAGTAACACTCATCCAAAAAGTGAATTCACAACCGTCACGTTTCAAAGGATTGCATTTTGAGATTGTCCAGATCATCCTCTCTGCTTCGAATATTGATACGCACTATGCTTATAGAGTGTTATTGAACTTTGTCCCAAAAAATATCAAATCAAATCATAAAAAGTTTTGAGTTCTCCACAAATCATCATTTTCTTCTGAAAATCGCGATCGACATATGAATATTTTGAATTGTTACTGATAGCAGATATCGTTTATGAAAATTTTCTTTCGATTCTTAGCGTTTTGAATTTCATTTTAATTCTTATTTGTCCTTTCAAGGATGTTTAACATTCGCATAACAAAATTTTACTAATCTCTTGTGAGTGCAATATTCCAAAATGAGTAAATATCCTTAAAATTTCCAAAATTGAACAAATTATGATAATCCGGAATATAATCTAGAATATCTAATAAATTCATATAGTAGCAACAGAATTCAAATCCGGAGTAAAAGTTTATGCAAAATTGAAGAAATTTTTGTTGAAATATTTGTTGAAATGTAATGTTGAAGATAAATATCCGCATGATAAGTCCAGGACTTTAACAGATTAGGTCATATGGTCTTATCTTTTATTTATTTCAAATTTTGAAATTTAAAATATGATTTTGATGCAGATATAGAAAAGAAAACACCAGATAAATATAGTATTATTTAATAATAAACAAAGAATATAACATAAAACAATTATATAAAAAATATATTTGGAAACTAACTTAGATGAACCCAAAAAAAATGAAATGTATCTCAATTATTGATACAAACAATAAATTACAAGATAGATTCGCTGATTGAATTGAGATATTCGTCGGCACCTGAAAAATTAAATTCTCTTTGGTCGGCCTGTAAAGTTTCTATATCAGAAACGTCATCGCTATCTTCTCGTACGTAATATAATTCTTGAGCGATGAAATCAGCGACAAGTGGGTCAGGATTACTTGGAGGAGCATCCTGTGTTAAGCTAAATGACAAATCCTTCAGAAGAATTTGCTTTCCGCATCGAGGACAAATTGGTAAATAAGTTGTACAAGCGCTTTCGAAAATGCTTGCGGCATCTATATGACAGGTCACGCCATTAACCGAATGCGATGCTGGAATTACGTCTCCAATCAAGGCAGGATTAAATTGTGGATCATTCTTGGATAAATTGGAAACTACGTCAACCCAGCTACGCCGCGTGACCATTTGTATTACGAAGAATGTTAATATATTAGAAACTTCCGGTGCGAGCTCAGTTAATATGTGGAATTTTCCTTGCATCGGTTCATTTGAATGGAGAACGAAACATTCGAACGTTTCTCCGAATTTAAATGGTTGTATTTCGCGTCTTTTGTCTTTATCGATTAATGCAACTTTTCCGCGAGCTGGAACGTTTTGTATTGTAAAAAAAGTTCCTATTATCATTTCATTTTGCTTTTTCTCTCTTGGAGATGGTATATACTCGAAACCATCCTTTTTCGTTCTATAACAAATAAAATATGAAGGATATGTTCCTTTTGTTCTTTGAAAAACAGCTGGTAAAGGCGGATCGCGAAATGCATTAATTGCTTCTGGTTTCATGAGCTGGTATTGAGAGATCATTTTAGCAGCATCAGGAAAACTTTGATTTAATTCAGTAATCATATCGATAAACATCGCAATTCTTTGGTCTTTCTTTTTCTGAGGTATGTTATATATTTTGAAGAATAAATCTGCTAACTCATCTGGTAATTTTGATAAAAGTCCTTTAATTATGTCTTGTGGCTGCTGTTGCTGCACCAAATATGGTTGATGATTAAATGCAAATTGCTGTGGAGGATATGGATGCTTTTGGGGTTGCTGTTTGGCTCGTTTTTTCGACTGTTGATTCTGTGGAGGCTGTTGTCCAGTGGGCATAACAGGCTGTGTCTGAGGAATTGGAGGTGGCTGTGCTGCCTGAGATTGTTGTTGGTTTTGTTGATACATTGCGTGATATTGATTAATCATATTTGGATTAAATTGCCTATATAGTTGAGATGCGTTCGTCATTTGCTGCCGAAACATTGGCTGGCCTTGGGGTATAGGAAATTTCGCATTTTGCATTGGCTGGTTTTCATTCGGCTGGTGGCCGTACAAATTCCCGCCATTCATGGAAATATTTTTGATTTGATATCATTAAGAATATGCATTAAATCTTGATGTGAAAGCTATATTGTAATAAACAGAAATTCATCAAAAGTGACGGCTCTCAATTTTTTGACATTTGTAAATTCTAAATTGAATGAGAAAAATGAAATAATACTAAGCATAATACAATATTCTAGATTTTATTATAATTAGGAAAAAGTTAGTTTTGAGAGTACTTTTCATAGGCATATAGAATGAAATCTTCTGAAAAATAATATCACATAAACTCATATTATTTTCTAATATATAACTATTTTATATAAAAATCAAATTCAATGATCTTAAAAGCGAATGATAAACCTCAAAATTTACGAATATAATGAGTGGGAATATAATGCTTATCTATCATAAACCATATGAAATATCAATTTTTGCTTTACGCCTAATTTTTGACGACAATAGCAAAAAATGTTAAATGTTAACACTCAGTCCATTTGAATATGAAAAAAAAATTGACTTTGATTAAAATGTTTTTATTATCATGCAATTCTTCTTGCGACCAAAGATTTGAATAAAATTTCAAAAAATAAGATAGCTTAAAAATAATATACGGTAGTGTTTACTAATAGATGAATAGTATATAAATTCTATTAAAATGGATTTGATCCAAAAAAATATATAAAATTTGATCATAAATAAAAATCGTTTTAAATTACTTCTTCATTTAAATTATAACAATTATTTTTGGTTTTATATTTTTTTGGATCAAATCCATTTTAATAGAATTTATATACTATTCATCTATTAGTAAACACTACCGTATATTATTTTTTAAGCTATCTTATTTTTTGAAATTTTATTCAAATCTTTGGTCGCAAGAAGAATTGCATGATAAATAAAAACATTTAATCAAAGTCAATTTTATTTTTCATATTCAAATGGACTGAGTGTTAACATTTAACATTTTTTGCTAATTGTCGTCAAAAATTAGGCGTAAAGCAAAAATTGATATTTCATATGGTTTTATGATAGATAAGCATTATATTCCCACTCATTATATTCGTAAATTTTGAGGTTTATCCTTCGCTTTTAAGATCATTGAATTTGATTTTTATATAAAATAGTTATATATTAGAAAATAATATGAGTTTATGTGATATTATTTTTCAGAAGATTTTGTGTTCTTCTTCAAAATTTTATTTTTTAATTAAAAAAAATCTTTACAAAATATACATTTACTTTAATTAATATTTAAAAACGTGCTCTATCAAAAGTTCCAAAAATTCAATATTTTAGCTTTTCTGAGGTGTCACTTTTGATGAATTTCTGTTTACAACAATATATAATACAAACACAGCTTTTTATTAAATTTTTCCAAAATCATAATAACTTCAAATTGTTTTGAGATCATGATTTAATAGAAGAAATTGATAAAAAGTTAGATATATGCATAATTTGTAATTCTCAATAGTTAATTAACAATATATTTTCATAAGAATTTTATTAAGCCAAAGATACTAATTTTTGTGGTGATTTCGAAATAGTTTGACATAGACTAGAATTTGCGAATAGCTATTGTTTTATAATTTTTATTTTTATCTTAATGAAATTATATTTCAAAGGATATTAGTCTTGATAAAGGAGAATTGATTAAAACCATACGAAACATAACAAAATATTTATTATAAATTCGAAAAAAATTCAAAATATAATAACAAACAATTGAATGAGTTAAAAAGTATACGAATAGTTAATGATTAAAATCATACGAAACATAACAAAATATTTATTATAAATTCGAAGGAAAAAAGAAAAATATTAAATTATTTTTCTTTTTTTTTATGAAAATATCAAATAAACATAAATATATTACTATTATAGGTTATTCTGCCATTCTTGGTGCTCAATTGCGTACATCACTGCTTCAATTGATTTAATTGCAGATTCATGAGGAAGAGAGCCTTTGTCTGCAGCGTGGTGTTTCATTCCAGGGACAGCAACCGTTATCATCCACTTATGTAACACTTTTGCGGCACATTCAGCTGGAGGATCGTTTAAATCGCCCAAACAACACACGATACCTGTGTTCTCAGCCATGAACATGCAGTTGATGATGCTAGAACCTGTTGGAGAGAAAAAGATTTTGATTGGAGAATATTGTTTCACGGCTTCTTCCAAACTCTTGTATTCTGCTAGTTCTCGGACATCTATATTCCCTTCGAAATGTTTTTGACATGCTTTGACGAGTTCTGGAAATTCCAAGATATGTCGATTTCTGTTCTTTGGACGATTGTAGAAGCCAAGGAATTCTGGTTTTACGTTTTCACATTTAAATTTCTTCCTTATTGTTTCTGAAACTTTTGGTAATCCTTCAACAAAACAACCGTGAATTGATTCTGATGAAATTATCGTATGAAATCGCGAAGCAAATATAAAGGATCTTCCAGGACATAATATTTTTGAATCTTCGATATCGAGTTGTGTAAGAAACTCTCTGTAAACACTTGAAGTTGATAATATTAAGAAATATGAGTTCTTTCTGACTTCTAATGGTATGTAAACGAGATAAGAAAGGACATCTAAGACAAAGTGAGCAAATACATAACACCATTCATTTCCTAGACATATTAAATCATCAACTCTTTGAGTAACGGGTCCACTCTTAGTATTAAATCGAGGTACTCCAACCGTTTGTGGATATTGGATAATTGAACGTCCATCTGACCATCCGCCAGCTGGATTTACATAAACGTTTTGTAAAACGTAATAAGTAATGTTTGTTCTGGATAGTGATGAAAGTTGCATGAAGACCCACGCTGTAATTTTCCTTCCACCGACATTATTAACGTATTTATCAATTTTTTCTTTATTTCCTTGAATTATGAAGGATTTTTTGGTTAATGCTGTTTCGGGATAAAATGGAGTTGTATCAATAAGATTTAAACTCTCTAAAACGACAAAATTCGTTAAACTTCCATCGAAAATAAATTCTATTCTAAGAATTATCGCAAAAGGAAACGCTAAACACGTCAAAAATAGAACCATTAAAGGCAAGACAACATTTTGCTTCCTTCTTCTCGGCGCGTCAATCACGATTCCTTTAAACATTTGAACAAAACCAAAAAAATTTCAGAAATCTTTATTTCAGAATTTTTTTTATGTTTTATTTCATTTATTATAACAAATTTAATTCATATTTGGAACAAAAATTTATGTTATTGTTTCTGGTATCATTTTTGATCAGGAAAATGAAATTATTTTTTCAAATCCATCGTTTCAGAACGAGTATTTGATGATATAGATTGCCTAAAGAATAGTATTTTGCTCTTCTACTTCTTTAGAAGATTTTACATATCAAGTTCATTCACCAGCACTTCACAAAAATAGAAGATATGCTAACTTCCGTTTCATAGCAGGAATTAGTTTTATTAGATGATTCAACTTATTCAAAAGCTATGATACCGCATAGTGATTGTTTTATAAGGTCGGTGAAAGATGAAAACCATGTAAAACATTTTCAAATTATACAAAAATTTAGATTCAAAATGATAACAAAAAAAGTCATTTTTATTTTTTCTTGCAGCAAAATGAAGGATAGTTAGAAAAACATTATGTTTAGAACGATACCAGAAAGGAGAGTGAGGAATGCTTCTATTTTATCATATCTTCTAGCTTTTGTGGAGTTGGAGAAATGTTTCAAGAAAAATATAACGATGGATTAAAACACTGACTTTTCTTGATTACCATTATCAATGCTGCCAGCTCAAACTCAGATACATACTTGTGAATTACATTTTTTCGACAATTGAGGATATTTCTCTGTTGTTTTATGATAAAAAAAAATTCCATCACATTTTTCATTTGCTTCATCAATGTTGAATCTTATCATTCAGAAATTACAAATGTATCAATGCTTTTTATGAAATGTTGTCAAGATAAAAGTCGTAACTGTTGGCAAATAATCTGAAATTTATCTGAATTATTTCTATTTTCAGAGTTTTTTACAACATGTTTATTAATGAAAATATGTGTAGGCCACATTGATATTGAATAAAGAATAATTTCTTATCGTTTTATTAAAATTTCTTTTTACAAAAGTATTTTTATAAAAAACAATAGTATTCGTATAACACTAGTACAGACAGTAATTATATCTCATCGAAATCGATTTTTAATTTTACGACTTTTCATAATTTTTGAGGTATGAACAACAACACTACCACAAAGACGCATTACAACTCAATAATGGGAACAATGAAGGAGTATTATGATACATTCAAAGCTTTACATCTGTCAAATCTTGATACTGATGAAGAAGTTAACAGACTTTATGAAATTATTGAAAATAACTTGATCAAAACAAATATTTTCCAACCATACCAGGTAATTAATTTATACTCAGTTCTATTTGTGTGTAAAAACAAAAATAATGGATTATATTTCAGAATTTTCAAAAAAGTTTACGATAAATATCCCGAAGTTCAAAATGAGCTTCTTTCATCACCATTTTGCTATTATTTACAAAAGGATTACGGAATTCATGCAAAATCAAATGATAATTATGTTGATAGGGTTTTGAATGCTCTAAATCCTCCTTTAGGTGTTTTCAAAGACAACACAATCATGAAGGCAATTATGAATGATGATATTGAATCATTTAAAGAATTTGCCAACAAAGAAAATTTTGATCCAAATGAAACAGTAACAAACCATTTTATGGTAGAAGAATGCAAATTCTCCTATCTCGAACTTTGCTGTTATTATGGATCTGTTGAATGTTTCATGCATTTGAGGTCTGAATTCAATTCCAAAGTCACTGAAAAATGTCTTAGGCTTTCATTTCTCAGCGGAAAAGATCAAATTATCAATGAATGTTTGTCTTATCAAGAACCAAATCAAAAATGCATGGAATACGCGATATTTTCATACAATAAAGATTTGATAATGCTTTTAGCCAACAATTACAAAATTCAAATTGATATAGATATTTGTGCAAGAAGTTATAATGTTGAAGCTCTTGCATTATTAATGGAACAAACAAGCGATTACGACAAAATTTTGCCATTTGCAATAAAATTCCGTTCACTCGAGCTCATGAAGTATTTATCTCCATTGGTTCGAAACATCAATGCACAAGATATTGGTGGATGGACTGCTCTTGGTTTAGCGACTTTTTACAATTGTTATGATATCTTGGAATATCTAATTTCAATAGGCGCAAATGTCAATATTAGTTAGTATGGGTTAGTTGGGTACTGTGGCACTGCGCACCTACTTACCCATTATATGTGAATTTGACACTTTACGAAACCGCTAACGTATATTTTACAACACAAACGACAACACTAACTTAACCTTAAATATTTACAAAGCTGCCAACCACTTCACCCCACTAACGAACTCACTAATGAAAAAATAAACGTTCTCATAAATTTTCTTCTATATCTTCATCGTCAATGTTAACTCTATTGTAGTCATACTTGAAGTCATAAAGTTTCTCAAGTTTTGAAATGCATAGTCTTGTTAACTTACCTTCATCATCATAAGTTTTTATAAAACTACCATGACAATCTTTATACACAGTCAATGTATAGTCAACTGGTCTAGGATGAAGTGTAAAGAACATGTTATGCTCAGGAAGGAAGAATAAATGTTTAAATGTATGTTTGTTATACTGTGGAATTCGAATGAGTTGCTTTTGTTCTGTCATTTACATCCAAATAAAAAATAAAATAAAAAATAAACTTAAAAATTAATGATATCACCACCCTCACACGTATGAAAACATAGCACAAAAATAAATTTAGGTGAAGTGGTGAGATCTAACCCGATTTCTAACCCGATTTCTAACCCGATTTCTAACCTGTTGAATTCATTGCTTTATAACTCACTGTCGTCTGCTTTCTCCAACTCTTCTAACTTCTTCTTAAGTTCAGCAATGTTGTCCTCATGAAGTTTAATCTTTCTCAAAATTCCTTCTTTATCTAATGGTTGCTTTATCTTTCTAAACTGAACTCTACCATCCTTCATAGTATGAATGTAAAACCTTCTGGAATAATTCCTGATTTAATGTATTCTACCAAAAACTTTTGTTTCATTGCTTCAGTGACTTTAGTCGTCATTTTACTCTAAGGTGAAGCTAGCACAGCGATAATGGATTTCATGACTTTTTAGTATTTCATGCAATCTTAACAGATAGCCTTACAAGTACTTCCAGTGTCCCTAGCTGTCCCTCCTTTTTATATAACTCCATGACATTTATAATCTCGCGAAACTTAACAGGTAGCATAACAGATTAAAATCAGATGAGGTTTTGAACCAAATTTTCTAAGCAACGTTGTCAAGGATTATTTTGAGGAACTAGGGACAGAGTGTGGCAAAGTCCAAGATTTAATTTATCTTCATCTGTTTCATCAGCTATCTCATCTAATATGCCAATATTTTATTCATAACTCGTGGCAAACCCACTAACTTTCGTTATGTTCATCTGCGTGCTTCATCTGATAGAAAGTATGACTTTCATTAACTCTGTGAGATAATGAAAACTACTAGGGACAGAGACCATGACAAAGTTTATGACTTTCATTATTTCCAGAACTTAATGAAAACTACTAGGGACAGAGACCATGGCAAAGTTCATGATTTAATTTATTCTCTCACTAACAACAAACACAAACTCCAACACTAACATCAAGTACTAACCTCAGCACAAATGACAAACACTAACAACAAACACAAACTCCAACACTAACGACAAGTACTAACCTCAGCACAAATGACAAACACTAACAACAAACACAAACTCCAACACTAACATCAAGTACTAACCTCAGCACAAATGACAAACACTAACAACAAACACAAACTCCAACACTAACATCAAGTACTAACCTCAGCACAAATGACAAACACTAACAACAAACACAAACTCCAACACTAACATCAAGTACTAACCTCAGCACAAATGACAAACACTAACAACAAACACAAACTCCAACACTAACATCAAGTACTAACCTCAGCACAAATGACAAACACTAACAACAAACACAAACTCCAACACTAACATCAAGTACTAACCTCAGCACAAATGACAAACACAAACTCCAACACTAACATCAAGTACTAACCTCAGCACAAATGACAAACACAAACTCCAACACTAACATCAAGTACTAACCTCAGCACAAATGACAAACACTAACAACAAACACAAACTCCAACACTAACGACAAGTACTAACCTCAGCACAAATGACAAACACTAACAACAAACACAAACTCCAACACTAACATCAAGTACTAACCTCAGCACAAATGACAAACACAAACTCCAACACTAACATCAAGTACTAACCTCAGCACAAATGACAAACACAAACTCCAACACTAACAACAAGTACTAACCTCAGCACAAATGACAAACACAAACTCCAACACTAACAACAAGTACTAACCTCAGCACAAATGACAAACACTAACAACAAACACAAACTCCAACACTAACGACAAGTACTAACCTCAGCACAAATGACAAACACTAACAACAAACACAAACTCCAACACTAACGACAAAAATAAATATCCTCACTTCTTAACAAAGTAATATGTGCTTCTTACACCACCATAGCTCAAACGTTTCTTTTCAAACATCGATTGAAACTTATTTTGAGCCATTGGCTTTAGTCTCTTTTTCTTCAAATACGCCAAGAAATCTTCTTCACATCTTTTCACTTCATAGCCTTCTTTAAACTCCTCCTTGTTAAGTTCTATGAAATCCTTTATCTCATTCTTTGTTGCAATGGCTTCTTCACGAACGACATCGTGAACTATTTCATCATTGCATTCATGTATGACCTCCTCACTGTTCTCATGAACTATTTCAACACTGTTCTCATGTATGACCTCCTCACTGTCTTTCATAAGCGTTTCAAAGTCTCCTTTACTCATTACTTCAATCTCATGCTGTTCACAGTAGTACTTAAACTCACTGTATATGTCTTTGTTGTATGTTATATTGCTTCCCATGTACTCCATGAATTTTTCAAGCACTTCCTCATAATTCACTGTTTCTTTCTTTCCACGACCTTCTAATATCATACTTGCTTCGTAAATATAACTTCGTGCAGAACCGTCTCGCTTTCTACTTCTCTTCACAAATTCTCTCATCTTGCCGCCAAATACATTTGAACTACATGCAAAGAATTCATTCTCCTTCGCAAATTCTTTATATCTTCTGTAGCACTCTGTACAATTCCATCCGGATACAAACTTTTCATAGAACTCCTCGTAAAACATTTGGTAAGGTGTTTTGTTCATTTCGATGAGTTCTTGTTTAGCCCTGGTGAATGGTATCTTCCTTACATCAAATTCACTTAAATCTTTCTTCATGAAGTACGTCAGTAAGTTTGAATAAAACTCTTCATTAAAGCTTTCAATGAGATTTGAGAAATATTCGTAATTTCCTTTGTATCTGCTGCTTACGTCAATGACAACAAATCTTCTGTCGTCTTTGTCAATCTTTACTGAGTTGAAGTTGTTAGATATCATGATGATATTACAAACATTCTCTATCTTTCTTACTGGCTGACACTTCTGATTTAAGTCCAACTGAGTCTCTGTTACTATTGACTTTAGTGCGTCGTGGTTCATGACCTTAGACGTATCGCATGAGCTTAGTTCATTGCATACGATGAGCTTCATGTTCTCAATAGCAGCATTGAATCTACCAACCACATTCTCTATTGCCGTTATATTATTGTTGGCGTACTTGCTAATGAGCTCGCATAGAACATTACTAAGTACATTCTTACCAGTTCCTTGCTTTCCTGTTAACAAAAGTACTGTTCCAGTCTTTCCACAAGGATTTTGAACGATGTAGGCGAACCAGTTCAAAACATACTCATAAAGCTCTTCATCCTCATTACATATGACATCGTGAACATGTTTCAAATATCCTTCAATAATGCTTTCATCTACTTCATTCAGTACCTCATACTCATATCCTCTGAAATAGCTGTAAATGTCATCTCTTTCGTCAAAGAATCTCATGCCTGACTTCATAAGATAGTTCTTGTTCTGACCCGCTTCATAAATCATCAGTGCGTTCACATCCTTCTCTTCAATACGTCCTACATAAACACTCTTCATGAGCTTATTGAATTCCTTGCTATCTACTGACACAAGTGTTGTTGTGTCTCGTATTCCATCATAATCTTTCACTAGATATGTCATACGTGCTCCGTCAATAACGACAACACATCTTCTTAAGTCATTTATAACACTAACTATGTCAATACCTTCTTCACTCATGTACTTATTTCTTCTCAAGTCCTTTAGTGTGAAAGTGTCTCTAAGTTCTATTTCAAGCAATTCATTTACATCCTTTGCAATACTTCTCTATAAAATATTTCTGTCGTTCTTTACTAAGTTTCTTAACAGCTCTGAAGAACCATGTGTTTTGACTCAAACATCCTTCACAACTTCTCTCATTCATTCCTAGTTCTTTCATGTCATTATCTTCAACCTCTATGGTCTCATTGACTAAGGTCAAAGGGTTCTTAGTCATTGCTGGTCTTATCTGAAACAATGTTTGTGCAACAGGTTTAACTAGTTCAGCAACGTCCTTCCTTAATATGAATAGCTGTTTCCACTCATCTTTGCTAACAGTTCTTTCATAACCACCGACAGTAATGATTTCATTTGCTGACCTTAGACGCTTATGTTCTATCATTTGTATTGCTTTTGTGTAAGGCTTTCGTGAGCATAGGTTGTATATGTCATTCCTGCAATGTTCATTCATGCCAATAGTACTAAATCCTTTCTTTGCTGTTGAGTGCATAATATCCATTAGTTCCTGTGTTCGTATTGCTGTCTCATAAAATACAACAAGACCTTTGTCATCTATGACGTACTTACCGAAAACATTGCTTATATTCTTTAACCATGAAATAACATCCTCATTCATGCTGTCAAACATGAAGTAAGGTCTTACATACTCTTCACTTATAAGATACTCCACAAAATACTTGTTAAACTCTATGTCCTCGTGAGCGATTTCATTAGGTTTGATATTAGTTCCTTTTGTCATTGCTGTCATGTACTTCACTCTCATAGTTCCTTTCAATAGCCTAAAAATACTTCATTGTTTCATAACTGCTCTAAATTCTGTTCAAAATTCGTACAACATAACTTTTAACATTAGTGAAAGAACATGAGCGAAACAACAACATCTAACAT